GAAGCAGGAAAAAAAAAAAAGACTGGTAGTTTGGTCCTCCACATATCTGGCTAATGCAATTTTTCCTCTCTTTAGAGAATTAGAAAAGACTATGAAGTTTAGGAATGAGAGATTTTCTTGGGTATAAAAACTTCCCTTTCTTGCTGTTATTATTCACACTTAAAAGAAACTCCACTGGATTTGCAGTTGGTTTAACATGACTCAGCTTATCAGTGGAGTGAATTTATCTGTTATTGTTTTAATACTAGAGAAGATTAGAACGAGTCTGAATTCCTTGAACTGTGGTTTTGGATCATAATTCACTTGTCATAAACACTTGCAGAGTTTCTCCTGGTAGCCAGTGTTGACTGGAATGCACTGTGGCACTGAGTCTGTGAACCTGTACTTGTTACACTGCGGCCGTGGCATACGCCTCTCCTGAGATCCTCTTGGCCTTCACCTTAGAGTCTGGGGGAAATTTTATGTGAAGTTGAAAAATGCTCTGACTACGACCATGTCGTATCTTCCTAGGCAAAGCTAATGCATGTTCTTTCCAGTCCCTTTTTAGGAAGCAAGGGCTCAAGCAGAAGAAACTGCACCACTAACCTATATGGGCTTTTCTTCTCCTCCCCAGTTGCTTGTACTTTCAGTTGCACAATGAAGTTCATTGTTCGAGACTGTGACCCAAACACAGGCGTGCCAGAAGATGATGGCTATGATGACGAATATGTGGTAAGTTCAGGACTGGGTTGTTTTGTTGTTTTTTTTTTTCCTTTGTCATCAGTTCTGAATAGACGTGGCCATTGGGTTGACAGTTTCCTTTCAGATCTGAAGCCAGTAGAACAGCTGGCCTGCCTGAAACACTGTTTCCAAGATACTGTAGCTTGTACCTTTAAATCCTTCCCCAAAACCGTGCTTTTTGCCAAAAGTCATTTTAGCCTTAGTGCCCTATGGAGATAGCATTTGTGGAAACAGACAGGAAGGAAGGAAGGAATAACTTGCATTGTGTGTTTTCAGGACTGTAGCCCAATCTTTCCACCCCAAGCATTTGCAGTTCTGTTTACTGTGTTCCTGTTATCAGTCATGGAAATACAAATCAGATGTCAGGAAATCACCTGTCTGTTGGGTTTGGAGGATGTAAAGGCTCCTTCTGGATTCTGAGAAAGTCTTTCTCCTCAGATGCCCAGTAAGGGCTAGAATGGGCTTTGCCTCACAAAGCGATTGCCCTAGTTTCTGCTCTCTTTTAGCATCACTGATGGTTTTATGTCAATGTTTTTAAGCTTTACAGCTGGCCACCATAAATACTATTTTCCCTTCTGCTTTTTAGATACTATTATGCTTCTCCTGAAATTAAAGCCAGGCACGCCAGAGTTGTTTTGGCAAAATGCTGCTGTCTCTCTTTGTCTTTCTTTTCCTTTCTAAGATTAGGATCATTTCTGTAACCGGCAGCTGAAAATCTCCCTTGCCTTTTTGTCAGTTGGAAGATTTGGAGGTGACTGTGTCTGATCATATTCAGAAGGTTCTAAAGCCTAACTTCGCAGCTGCATGGGAAGAAGTGGGAGATGACTTTGAGAAAGAAGAAACCTTTGCACTTAGTTCGATTAAAACCCTTGACGGTGAGATGATCTCTCCTTGTTTATTGGTGACCCACATAGTAATCCCGGTAAATCTGCCATGCTGGAGATATATTTAGTGTGGTAGGAGGAGAATTTGGTACCTTCCCATGTGACATGATGTCCCAGCTTTGTGTTGCAATGTTGGGATTATAGTGAGTGGAAGTTTGGCAGTACTCTCTTGCTCGAGGCTGTCTGAAGGGAGGGGTGCATTCATAGGCTGTTAAGACAGCAGAAGGGACAGGGCAAGGTAGGTGTGTTGGTGGGGCTGCAGCCAAGATAATGAATGGAAATGGTTAAGCCACATGGGTGCTTAGAGAATGTTCTTTAATTGCAAACTAGTTCTCACAGAAAGCTTGACACCAATCTGGAGTTTTTTGGGTTTTTTTTCTTCAATCTCTGAATGCAGAAGCTGTCAATAACATCATCAAGTTCTTGGGCATGCAGCCCTGTGAGAGATCAGATAAAGTGCCAGAGAACAAAAATTCTCACACGCTCTACTTAGCTGGTAAGTATTCACGCTGTTGAACTCGATGTTTCCATGTCCCCACAGTTTTTTACTAAATGAAGGGAAATGGGTTAGGAGATTCTGCTCTTGTATAGACGTTTTTTTCTCTATAGGAAGCTGAAGTGAACCAGTGAGTTGAATGCAGCTGGTGTTAATTTGGAGCCTGCTGTTGCGGGTGTAGTCGGGCTAGGTTCTGTGTCTCTCGGAATGGAGGTATTCCACCTATGGGAACCATAGTGAATCCTTTGAATGAAGAACTTCCAGAGCAGACACCTAATTAAATTCCTTGCCAGTTTTTATCTCGAAAGGGGGTTCCTATGACCATCTTGTTTTCAAGTTCCTGTCACTAAAGACATATCCTGATTTGGCCTGCAGTACCCGCACCTTCTTGTTCAGTGACTGTGCTCCAGGCTTACAGCCTTGGGCAATCCTTGGAAGTGCTCTACAAAACTTTATTGCAGTTGGTAAAGCAAAACTGCAATGAGCATGGCATGCAGTGGTCTGACAGAAGGGTTGCATCTCAGTTTATGTCAGAGGGAAGAATTGGTAACTCCAAGTCTGTCTGCATAGTGATGCTGAAGTGGGACTGGAGGTGGCTCCAGTCCTGCGATCTGAATTGCCTCCAGGAGTGCCACTTCCAAGCGCTCTAACAGAAGCACAGGACTATTCCTCCCTTAACAGCAGGGGCACTGAGCAGAATTACAATATGCATTGCCTTTGCCAACTGGACGTGAGCTTCAGCTACCCATTTTCTGGTTCCTACCTATTTAACTCAGCCTAGCCCTCTGGCAGCCCTTGCTGACTGTTTAATTAGGACAGTATCTGTTATCTTCAGTCTTGGCCTAGAGAGCTTAGGGGGTTTGGGTTGGTTGGTTGTTTTTTCTTGTCACTTCCTCCCTCTCTGCAACTGGCCATAGAGTGACTCTGTCTTGCCCTCACCAGGTTGTTGGCTCCTGGGTTAGGACTAGATTGCTGAGCCTTTCTTAAGAGGTAATCACTCAAATGTTGCTTTGTCCCCAGGTGTATACAGAGGCGGCTGCGATGTGCTGGTAAGGTCCAGGCTTGCGCTAGGAGATGGCGTGACCATGCAGGTGACGGTTAGGAGCAAAGAAGAAACGCCTGTCGATGTCATCTTGGCTTCTGTAGGCTGAGTGTTACAGCACAACAATGGTGGTGGAAACCTCCTTTGCAAGCACCAGTTGGGTGTTTACTGGATATCAAGCAGCCTGTCTGTCCTTCTGCATGTAGTTTTTATTCCTCAATTTGGTAAATATTTTGTATGATGTTACAGTAGTGGCAATAGTGGCTGGCTGGTACTGAGCCTTTCTCGTGTCCCTTCCCTCGTTGTCACTTACACATTCCTGTCTAACTTATTGCGTCTCCAGCCACTTGCAGTAGAGCAGGGAAGATAAAAGGTGCAGGTGGTAAGAAAATGGAATCGGACTTTTGTCAAAACTGATTTTTATTAACAGAAAATAAACACTGGTCCAAGTGGTGGAATTCCTATGAATTACTGTTAATAAAATAGAAATTTCTTGTTCTAATTCTGTCTGCTTCAGTACAGAAAAAGTAGCCTATAATGGCTGTTTACTCAGCAAAAGCCCCTTGTTCCTAAAGGGATGCTATTAAATTTCAAACGTAAGCAGTTAAAAACCACACAAAACCTGCAGAGTCTTCCAATCTGCAAATTTACAGTTTCTTGATGATTGTCTCCTCTGTTCCACACAGAAAAATCAATGTACAGAGAGAGAAATTAAGCTTCATCTATCAAGGCATATTCAATTCTCTGAGCCTTATGTCAGGTAATACCAAATAACAGTGCAGCCTTTTTCCCAGGCTCAAAGATGTGAAATATCCTGTATCGCAGGTTAGGAGGAGAGGGGGAAGGAGGGGCCTTGTGATGACTTCCTAATGAGGGAAGTTCTTCATCTCTCTGCTGATGAATTGGTGCTTCTTTAGTTATCAAGTCAGGGTGAGGAAGGAAGGAATACTGTTTTAATGCTAATTTAAACACCCATCCCAGCTCCCTGTGGCTGGAATAGCTATTGCTCAGAAGAACACCTTGGCTTTTGCTACTGCCAGTATTGCATATTCAGCGTGCTCTAGTGAAACAGGTACGAGCCTGCCCTGGTAGAACTGCGTGCTATGACTGAGCTTCGGGGAAGCTCCTGAGACAGTCCCAAGGGTGTAGTGTCAGTGAGTGGCTCTGCTTGTTGAACTGAAAATCAGAGAAACAAGGGATGTGGTAAAAACTTAAGGTTTAGAGCTTTCCTTTGGGAGACTGGCCATTAAAAAGAGATTACTGAAGACATTACAGTGCCTAATTGCCCCTTCATGGGTGCAGATACAGCAGAGCATCAATTGCCTGTATTTTGGCAGACTGCAGATCCAGCTCTCCTCTGTATTTAGTGTAGGCAAACTCAGTTTCACATTCTTCAGTCCTGACAAGCTGGCTGGGTATTACAACTCTTAGCAGAAGGATATAATTTAAACTTTGGCTGCTAGTTGTCCTGTGGCAGGCAGCATAGCCTGGCAGTGAAGGCAAGTAAGGACTCCCGGACTGACAACTTTCATGCTCTGCTTCCCCTCAGGTGCCCTTGTTCTCCCTTGAGTCCTCCTGGCTCTAAATACAGAGATAGGCCAGTCAAGAAGCAAGGCGAGAGCAGGGCTGGAAGAGCTGTTGGCATCCTGTAACTCTAATTAGGCTGACAGTTTTGTCCATGCCTCCCTGCAGGCTAATCTTTTTCCGGTGCTCAAAGGATTTAACTGCATAAAGGCAGCAGTTTGGCAGCCAAAGATCAGGGTGTTAGTGCAAAGTGTTCTATCTGGAGATAAAAATTACGATTTCTTCCTGCCCCCAAAGCCTGACTCATAAACGAGGAGAACTGAGCTGCAGCAGCTCAGAAGGAGTTGATGAAGTTCAGATATGCATTCAGGAAGCCTGTTGGATCCTCCAGCTGTGGATAGTGGCTAATGTGGTCATCCAGCACAGACACCGTGGACATGGGAAGCACCTTCCTGTTGGAAGAATGCAGCAAGGCTTAAGCACAGGAACTGCAGCTCGGCCTGCAGCCAGCCAGACACTACCGGTGAGGAGGAAAATACCCTCTTGCACAGTTGGCATTTTGCCCATAACATGGTTTTGGCACAAAAAAGAACCCTGTAGCAGCTACTGTTGACTGCTTTTCCTGGACTGTTCTTGACTGGATTTACCTCAAGTTAGTTTGGAGGAGACTACTTCAGTCAATATATCTCACCTCTGTCTGGTGTGGTTTTAAAATGCATGATTGATTTGACTGAGAGTTGTGAAGCAATTTCCAAAGTGCAGAGGGCTCTGACTGAATCACATGGCTGCGCCGGTTACAGGTGGGAATTAAAAACAGCCTCGATGAAAAGGCAATTGAAGGAAAAGTCTGAGACAAAATGTCCCTCAAAATTAAACCCCAGGTGTGTATTCCTGCTTTGTGGTGGGTATTGTCTTACTTGTAAAGCTGAAGAAACTCTGGGTGCGGATTCACAGGGTCCAGGGGCCCATAGATTAGATGCACTGCAAGAGAGAAGCACAGACAGAGCTTTTATACCCAAGGACATCCCTAAACCAAGCCAAGGAGCTGTGCTGCGGACTTGTCCTTCCCCAGCACAGAGCTTGGGAAGCTTCCAGCAGAGCACTGAGCAAATCAGCTGCCGAAAGGGCTCATGCTTCTCTGCCCTGGGGTGAAGTTCAGCCTCCAACCCTCCTCCTGCAAACACCAAACCTTTCCTTGGGTGGTTGCAACTTCTCTTGAGCTTGAAAAGCACTTCGGCTTCCCTGGGGCAGCAGCTGGAGACAGCAGAGGCTGTGAACCAGCCTCTAAAGGAATGTAACCTCAGCTCAGTGGAACAAACTTCTTCCTCTTATCTTAAAAAGCTCAGAGCTCTCTGCTGTAACCAAGCCTTAAACTGGAGCAGAGACGTTTGTGATGCTACTCCCTGCACAAGCCAGATTTGAGCTGTGTTGTCCTCATCAGAATAGCGAGAGGCTCTAGCAATTAGTGGAAGGAACCAGCACCATGCTCCAGTGCCTGCAGGCGAGGGGGGGTGATTCCTAACATCCTGACCAGTAAATCAAGGAAAACTGATTCATTCCTACTCACGTGGGACGGAGGTGGACATCAAAGCCCCAACCCAGCGGTCTCTGTGCTTCTTTCTCTGGTTTATGTACTGCAAAATACTGAAGAGAAACCTGCTGTTAACACAGTGGATGGTGCCTCCAGGTGCTGCACAGCCTGAAAATTGCTCTTGGGGCAATGCACGCCTGTGCAATGAGGTGTAATCTGCATCGCCCACAGCTAATCTTCCTGGGGCAGCAGCAAGACAAAAATCAGTCTGCTGAACATCTCTGAACTTAGTGAACTGCCCCAGTTTGTGGGTTTTTTTTTTTATTTATTTAGGTAGTCAGCAAATAAAAGTGCAAATGAGGTTAGGACAATGATTCCAGGTTTCACCCCTGCTAGCTCTGTTCCCTAAGTGTAGAGTCCAGTTCAGAGTCCTGCTGGAGGACAACCCACGTTCATTTAGGAAGGGGGAAATAGCCCATAATCTGGGGGGTGGGTGGGAAAATGAGGTTTGAATCTTTCCCAGCTGAGATGGAAGCAAATTTGGGTCCTCTGCCCCCAGTCAAATGCCACTGTCATTGTAATCCTTGTTCTGGGTGTAGTTAAGTCACAGCAGGCTGCAGGCAGCCAGAAAACGAGCACCGAAAGGTTGGTTAATCCCAAGCTCCCTTAGCAAACTCCACACTTGCTCAGGCAGCAGAGCAAAATGTAGGTTTGCAGTCAGATTCTACAAAACAGCGCAGAAATGGGTCTGCTAAAAGCCAATGCAGATGCAGTGCTGTCTGAGCACCCCCATGCTCAGCTCACCAGTGGTGCAGCAGCTCTGAGATCATCTCAGTGTCCCGCAGAAGAGGAGTCAACACTGAACTACCAAGCATGGAGGAATGTAGGAGAAGCTAAGTTACACTGGTCGGGTCCTACAGTGAAAATCCAAACTGCTAAAAGTTCCTCAGCCTGTCTTGTCACCCCAGCCAGCCACTGAGGGCGACTTCTTGCTTCAGCGCAGCTCTCGGGGGCTGAGGCTCACAATTTAAACAGCTGGTTCAAGTCAGTTGGGTTATAAAAAGCCTTCTAAGGCCAGGAAGCTATGCTAAGTAAACATACTGATACTCTGACACACAACATTTAAGGGGCTGGCAATATTTGGGCACTGAGCTTCCCATCACGGCTGCGCTGCCAGCAAAGCTGACATTGCAAGAATTTGCCACAATGGGACTTGCCAAGTGGGTAGCGTGTCAGACGTGTATCCAATGCTGGGCTTCGGCGAGCATCCCTCATTATGAAGCAGTTAGCGAGCGCCCTTTGGAGGGGCTGAGCCATTTGGTCCTTACTGTGATTTGAGAATTGCCTGGAGATTGTCCGCAGCAGGATGAGAGAGGAGTTTGCACACCGGGGAAGGAGGACACATGCATGCCCCACTGAATGGGGATACTAAACTCACAACCCCCAGCTTGAGGTCCTTCCAAAAGCCCCAAACTGAACAAAACCAGATTTAGCTCCAGTTGTTATCAAAACCACAAATTCAAGCCCCTAATTTCCAAAGAAGAAAAAAACCCACATTGTACCCCTCTGGCATTGTCCTTCTACTGTGTGCAGGCTCAGATCCTCCTGACTCCAGACTTCATTTACCTGCCTTGCATAATCCCAGCGAGAATCCCTGCTCCTACATCACACCCCTGCTCTTTTTTGGGGTGCAGTGATGATTCCAGACCCCAACAGAAGCAACTGGAGGCTCTGAAGAGGCAGTGTCCAGGGACCTGGCTGAGTTCTGGTAAACTCTGAGCCACGGCACAGCTCTGCCTGCAAACAGGGGGATGCCGTGGGTGTAAAACTCAGCTCATACAGCAATTAACAGTGACGTACCTGTCGACAACGAGATTGCCATCGTTGGTCCGCACCGCCGTCCACATGTCCCAGTACTCTGCTGGCGAAGGCTGCGTGTAGGGCCCAAAGACTGCCCCGAGCCTGAAAAAAAAAACAGTTCAGAGCAGCACAGCAGCAGCTGTGTTAGTGTACAACTCGAAAACTAGCCAAGAGCAAAAAATAGTTGAGCACTTCCAGCTTCCACTGCAAAACACGTGGGTGCAAGTACAGCACTGCAAATCATCCTCCAAAGGCACCCAGCGTTGGACTTAGCGGCCAGTCTAAAGGGCTTTTTGGGAAGAAAAAGAGGGTTTGCAATGTCTAATAAAAATATCCATCTGATTGTGCACCGTATGCAGGGTGCGGTTAGGGTTTTCATCACCTCTGTCACACCTGCAAGTCCAATACTCGTAGAAGGAAGGATTTCAGCGAACGGTGAAAAGCTGCCTGGTTTATTACTAGGCTGAAGCGCTTTGCCAACCTAGAAGAGGGAACAGCCTGGAGGATCAAGGTCATTCAAATCCAGGGGCAAATCTCTCCTGGGACAGTGCCGGGGAATCCACTCACCTGCCAAATACCCACTACGCTAATTCCTACATTTGCCCACTCCCCACTTGGCTCACATCCCCTATACGGACTGTGCCCAGCAGCACGGAGATCCTACTCACCCTCTGGAGAAGAAAAAGTAGTTCATCAGCCGCGTGATGACTGGGGACAGCAAACCTCCATCCTTGAGGATCTTGGGCAGAAGGGAAAAGGGAGACGGCACCGCTGGGTATGGTACAGACAGGTAAATCCTGCCTCCCCTGAGGGCTTTTCCCCCCAGAAAAGCCGTCTCCCCATATCACAGCAGTTTCCCAGCTCAGCCCCGACCCTCATTAGTGCTGAGATGTATGTGAGCCCTCGACAGCAAGACATCAGCGCTTTAAGGGGCAATTAGCCAGGACGTTCAGATGAGACAAGCCGCATATGGACAGCCCCTGCCTCTCCCCACCGCCTCTAACAATGCCTGCGAGCAGCTCAGGTGCCATTACCGAAGCGGGAAAAGCAGCAGGCACCTGAGCCAGGTAAAACCACAAATTCACGGAGTCAGATTTCTGCTTGAGGGGCGATTCAGTACTAGAGAGGGTAGCAGCTCACCTTCTGGATGAAGCGGGGGTAGTGCGTTTCGGGGAAAATCCCTGGAAGGATGTCAGAGAACAGAATTGTAACATTACAAGTGTTTTGCTCCGCATCTCCCAGTCTCTCCCCTTCTTCATGGTGCCATGAAAGGTGGCACGGGCAGCCCAAGGACTGACACTCCTGGTTAATTACAGCACCTTATTTGCAATTTGCTTGGGGTTCGGGTGTTTTCCCTTGGGTGATGGAAACAGATGGGAAGGCCATTCCACCCCACGGATCCCCAGCCCACCACACCAGGCAAACCTTACCTCCGTTGGATAAACAGAGGCTGTTGATCAAGATGCTTCCAGTTTGATTGTGCTCATACCTGGGGACAGAAGAGAAGGCGGCGAAACACCACTAGACCTCTCCAGGCTCCAAGAATTGACTGACCAGCAGGTCAAATTAACAGTGTCAGATCATTTCTGCTCCTCTGTTGCCCCCAGTTTGATAAGAAGGAGCTCAGGAGGGAAGTTAAACATCCTACCAGCTGGGAACTGATGGATAGGAACCTCAGATCTGCCTACCACGGATGTGCTCTGAGGCCTCCCAGCCTTCGTTACAGTTGTAGGTACAGGGGGAAGGGGGTTCTGCGCTACATTCTTCCACTTAGCTGCTGGAAATCATCTTGACGGGGACAACAAAGAGCAGCCAGAGAGAGCATCAGTGGTTGCAGTGACCTGTGGAGCAGCTCCTGTGCAACCGTATCCCCGTAATCATGAGACAGGAGATTAATCCTCTGGTGGTGGAGGCCGAGGTGATGCACCAGCCCCTCGACGATGCTGGCTTGCTCGAAGATGGAGTAGCGGTGGGGCCTCTGCGAAGCAAAGCGGGAGAGAAGCTGCAGTGAGAGCCTGACCCACCATGAGCCCACAAACTCCAGAATAAACATGCAGATGGAGGAATATGGGGTGGAGACCAGCAGTTTGCGACCCCGGGCAGAGCAGTCAGGATATCCTGGGCCAGTAGCTATGTCCATAAGCGCACAGGAGCACTGCCCATGTCCCAGAGGGGTCCAGGTGTGCTTTAGAGTCACGTCAAACCCAAGTAAAGGCAAGATAGTGATAGAGCCGATCACCATGCACCTTCCCCGTCCTTTCTGCTATTATAATATCTTATTCCTGTTCCAGATGTAAATGGGAGAAGAAACTGGACTGGAAACGCCAATTTTCTGGGGATGCTGGCATGGCAGAACAACCTCTGGGCCAAAAGCAGCTGTGAAAACCCTCCTCCCAGGCTACTTACAGGCTTGTCGCTGAAACCGAATCCTACAAAATCCAGAGCAATCACCCGGTGAAACCGTTGGGTCAGCCCTTCCCAGATCTGGAAAGAGGAAAAATGCATTAAAAAAACAGCTGGTGAGAGCAGAAAGAGGAAAATTCTGCGGCGATGCGCAGCCATGGACTGCCACACTCCCCTCCACTCCCCCAGCCAGCACCTTCAGCTCCAAGAAAACTGTAGGACGTTGAAATTTCCCAATAAATAGCAAGACAATCCCCCCCAAAAAAACAAGAACAAATAATTGTGGATCTTTTCCTCCTACTTTAGGCTGGAGTGTGGGAAAAGGCAATGTGAAAAGAGCTTGGGTTCCGTGCAAGCCATCAGGAGAGGAACAGGGCTGACATCCTGCAGCGTGGTGGCACCCCCAGCAGAAACTCTGCAGCATCACCCACCCTGGGCTGAGCACCACCAGTGTCCGCCTGCTTATCACTGGGAAGGAGAAGCCAAGGGGTTTGCCATCAGCATCCAACCCCCTGTGCACTTGCCCCCCTCACCTTGCACCAGTCGTAGCTGGAGGTTGGGAAGCCATGCAGGAGGACAACGATGTCAGAGCTGCCGACGGCACCGGTTGAATCTGGGGAGGGAATGGGGCACTTCAGGGTCTGCTTCCCCTCCCTACCCCCCCAATTTCCTCCTCTCCCACTGGGAGCCCAACCAGCAGCACCAGTATTACCTCCCCCTGCTCCCCAAAAACCAAGCATGGGTTTGACTCGCACCACAGCTTCTCAGTGCCAGCGTGGCTTCAGAAACCTGGCCAGACACACCAACCAGCACCAGCTGCTTGATGCAAACCAGGGGTTTATTTAGCACAAATTAATTGCAGCTGCCCCTAAGTTGCTACGATTGGTAACGACTGCTCCAGCAAAAAGGTTTTTCAGTATCTTTTCCTTGCCATGACCCATCAGAGGCTCTCAGGATCCTTCCCCATGAACACCAAAGTATTGCCAATGCTGCACGAGAACCAACCTTCGTAGCTTCGCCCAATTAAAACATTTTGATAACGAACAGCCACACTGCGCCTGGATCCCCACAGCGGCTCCCCTTAAAGCCATTACGTTTTGGGAGGGATTTGTCATCACCCTGCCTGGCCCTGGGGACATCCCTGGGGCCACCGAGGCCACCCCAGCCCTGGTCCCCACCGGGACGGACGAGGTGTCCCTGGGGCTTGGCATGGCCCCGTCACCTCTGTAGAAGATGTTCTGGTCCTTGTAGATGAAGTAGGCTCCGGAGGACCTCCAGGAGAGGAGAGCCGGGGAGAGCTTGGGGGGCGGGATGTGCAGGTAGACGGCGAGGAGGGGCACGCTCAGCAGCCCCACCTGCACCCACCACTCCTTCATCCTGCGGGACAGAGCGAGGTGCATGTCTACCGCCATGTCCCAAATAACCCCCACGTCCCCCATAACCCACCACCATGTCCCCAGTAACCCCCAGATCCCCATAACCCACCTCCATGTCCCAAAACCCCCATGTCCTCATGACCCCATGCCATGTCCCCAATAACTCCCACATCCCCATAACCCACCGCCATGTTCCCAGTAACCCCCACGTCCCCATGACCCAATGCCACGTCCCAAATAAACCCCACATCCCCCTACCCTGCACATCTCCAGGGTGGCAGGTCCACGGCAGAAAGTGGTCTCTGCAGTAAAGCAGAGTCTGAGGGGGCATGTGGGCCCCATTTGGGGTCTGAGGGATGGATGTGGACCCCGTAAAGAGTCTGAGGGAGGATGTGGGCCCCACTGGGGGCCTAATGAGAGATGTGGGCCCCATTTGGGGTCTGAGGGATGGATGTGGACCCCATAAGGGGTCTGAGGGAGGATGTAGGCCCCACTGGGGGCCTAATGGGAGATGTGGGCCCCATTTGGGCTCTAAGGGATGGATGTGGACCCCGTAAAGAGTCTGAGGGAGGATGTGGGCCCCACTGGGGGCCTAAGGCAAGATGTGGACCCCATAAAGGGTCTGAGGGAGGATGTGGGCCCCACTGGGGGTCTGAGGAGGAATGAGAGCTCCATAGGAGGTCTGAGGGGATGTGCAGCCCCACTGGGGATCTGAGGGGGGATGTGGGCCCCAGTGGGGGGCATTTGGGCTCCACAGGGGGATTAAGGGGGTGTGCAGCCCCACTGGGGGTCTGAGGGGGGATGTGGGCCCCATGGGGGTCTGAGGGGAGATTTGGGCTCCATAGGGGTTCTAAGGGGGACATGGGCCCCATGGGGGTCTGAGGGGAGATTTGGGCTCCATAGGGGTTCTAAGGGGGACATGGGCCCCATGGGGGTCTGAGGGGAGATTTGGGCTCCATAGGGGTTCTAAGGGGGACATGGGCCCCATGGGGGTCTGAGGGGAGATTTGGGCTCCATAGGGGTTCTAAGGGGGACATGGGCCCCATGGGGGTCTGAGGGGAGATTTGGGCTCCATAGGGGTTCTAAGGGGGACATGGGCCCCATGGGGGTCTGAGGGGAGATTTGGGCTCCATAGGGGTTCTAAGGGGGACATGGGCCCCATGGGGGTCTGAGGGGAGATTTGGGCTCCATAGGGGTTCTAAGGGGGACATGGGCCCCATGGGGGTCTGAGGGGAGATTTGGGCTCCATAGGGGTTCTAAGGGGGACATGGGCCCCATGGGGGTCTGAGGGGAGATTTGGGCTCCATAGGGGTTCTAAGGGGGACATGGGCCCCATGGGGGTCTGAGGGGAGATTTGGGCTCCATAGGGGTTCTAAGGGGGACATGGGCCCCATGGGGGTCTGAGGGGAGATTTGGGCTCCATAGGGGTTCTAAGGGGGACATGGGCCCCATGGGGGTCTGAGGGGAGATTTGGGCTCCATAGGGGTTCTAAGGGGGACATGGGCCCCATGGGGGTCTGAGGGGAGATTTGGGCTCCATAGGGGTTCTAAGGGGGACATGGGCCCCATGGGGGTCTGAGGGGAGATTTGGGCTCCATAGGGGTTCTAAGGGGGACATGGTCCTCTCCTGAGGGGAGCAGCCCTGGGTGGCCCTTGAGGCGCAGGGTCCCCCGGTTGCGAGGGATGGGGAGGGATTCGGTAGGGTGCCCGGAGCGCTGAGGGCGTCTCGGGGACCTCAGTGGGCCGGTGCAGCCTCCAGAGACGTAACTCGGGGCGGGGAGAGGGGAGACAGTTTCTTGCGGTCCCCAGAGTCGGGCGTGTGCCGGGTGAGTTGCAGGTGGAGGGAGAAAGGGAGAAAAATCCTCCTTTTGAAGCTTTAAAGTGGGGGTTTGGCAGGGGATTTAATATCGAGCTGGGAGATTCGGAGGTCTGTCCTTCTGCCTGAGGGCAGAGGATGTCTGAGAGGGTGCCTGTGGTCTTGCTCCTCTTTTTGCTGTCTCTTAGAGCTCTTCAAATAGCCTTTTCTGGTAAGGGGTTTTGTTTTTGTTTTGTTTTGTTTTTTCTTTAAAACAAATGCATGCTGGTTTGTTGATTTCCTCTTATCTTTTCCTTTTTAAAACAGTATTTAACCAGGCGCATCCCTCAGAATCCCAGATACCAACATATAAAAACCCGCCTTGATACTGGTAAGTGAAATCGTCATATGGTAAAACCACCAAATGTTGATGTGGAAGTGTACAAAAATATGCTGAATGTCTTCACTGCCTCTGTCCTGAGCTGTTGTACCCCAGAGATTGTGGAGCTGTGTCAGAACTCTCATTGCAGTTATTATGTCTCTCACCTGGTTATGTCAGGCTCTGTTGTGACAGTTCCCACAGAAATTACTGGTCTTGGGGTTTCTGTGTATGGGCTTTTGTTGTGTGAACTAATACCTTGACAAGGGTGGAAGTCAAGATAATTATTTGGGGGGTGTCTTTGGGGATCTTTTTGTTGTTAAAGTGGCTGAATTTTATCCGGTAACACCTGCCTGTAGTGCCAACATAAAAATATTGGGGAAGGGACAGTGTGGCCGCAGTTGCACTTGAAGCAGTGTGTTGGAAGCAGGATTTGAATACCAAGGTCCTGGATTCAGCTGCCTTGGAGAGAGGGCTGTAACGTAAGAAGTCTCTAATGTCCTGAGTTTTGGGTAGTGACTTTCTCAAGGTGATGACTTTGTTCACCAAAGCATCGTCAAACCAACTTACTCTTTTGTGTAGAGAGGGCTTGGTGTGGAACTTGAAAATGGGGAGGGTGCTACGAGGCTGTTTTTTTGTGAATATCGCTGTTCTGACTAGCAAGGTGTGGATACTTCTGTACCCTTTACTGAAAATCCTGGAAAGTTAAAGTGTGTTCTGTAGAAGAACTGAAATGGCGCTGGGAGCGTAAGCAGAAGATTTGAGCTTCTTCTGGTCACAAACATTCACAGTGACTTCCCCTCTCCAGTACAGAGGCTTTAAGCTACAGAGCATTGCCTGTTCCCAGAGACTGTTGACAGCTGGGGTCCAGCAAGTCCTTTGACTGACTCTTTGATTTATAGCTGCCTTGCATTGTCATGGTGAAAGAGGGTCTGCAATGAACGTTTGTTATTGTAGTCTGATCTTTTCCTTCAAAAAAAAAAAAATTCAACCCTTAGTAGTGCTAAAACTACTAAAAATTTTTAACAAACTGATTGTTTTTGTTGTTGTTGTTACAGGAAACAGTTTGACAAAATACACTGAGAGGTTGGAAGAGATCAAAAGAAGTGAGTATCTGGAGAGGAGCAGAATGTAACTTGCAGTGGGTTAGTTCAAAATTGAGGGAGCATCGAGGAGCTGGTTTGAATCCCAGGCTCTCCATTTGCTTGTAAATCTCAACTCTGATGATTCCCACAGCCATTTACAGGAATGAACTGTAGAAACATGCAGCAGTTGGCTAGAAAGGTGCTTCTACCTTGATTCTTTGCTGGGCACACTCTACTTTGTCCTGTGCCTTATTTCTGTTTCTTATAGTGCGTTACAAATTTAACTCAAGATAGCAGGCAGGCAGGTCTAGGAGTCGTTCCAGACCCCTCTTTGTGTGAATTTTTTTATTGAATGGAAACCAGGCAGGAAGAAGTTCTCTGGATTAAGAAAACTAGACTAGACTCATCTGGGAAGACTCAGACTGCGCTTCTGAGACTTATTTCACTTTTAGGTTACAAAAATGATTGAGCTTGAGACCTCTTACTTTCGTATAATTGTAATGTGCTTAGAATTCTATTAGAATATTCCAAGACAGGAAAGAGACAGGCTCGTTCCTGTGTAGTTCATTGAGTTTACCAGAACAACATTGATGTTTTGAAGACTTTGGGTCATTCAGGCTAATGAAAGCCCAACTGATTTTTATTTCAGTCTCTTTTCCCACTGAAAGTAGGCTCTTTAAAAAGTTCTTACTAATAGCGGTAATGTTTTACTACTTTGTTTTCAGCTGCTGTCCAGATCATTTTCACATAGAGAGCTAGGAAAGCTGTTAAATCCAAAAGCTGCATTTATTGATGTGAAAGAAAAATCACCCCTGTTAATGAGCACTAATTAGGATTTTGAATGTTCAGTTCTAGTTCTTAGGCTCACTTACTGTAGTCCTCTAAGATGGTAACATTCAGGTAATAAGGGAGGTCAGTAATCTGTCACATGAATATATTTATGCTTGATGCTTGGCTTTGTGCAAAACAGTCCTTTGTTGCTGATTTGTTTGTTGTTTTTTTTTTTTTTTTAAACACCTTTGGGGTTTGGGGAAAATCAAAAGAGAAATGGCCTTGCTTTCCAAAATCCTGTGTTGACTGACTAAGATTTCAGTGCTTAACACTGGATTGCCATCACTTTTTATCTGTGCTGAAAATCTTGTTGTATGGGTCTAGTTGGTTTTCAATCTCTGCTGTGAATCTGATTTCGTTTCATGTAGGAGTTCTTTTGTTTAATTGTGGTTCTGGATTCCAGTAGAAACTTTCTCATTATATTTGGACTGAATAGACACCTTGTGTTCCCAGGCAGTTTAGAAACTTCTCCCCCTTGATTTCTCATGGATAGATGACACCATTTGGACACAACTTTAAATACCCAGTACAGTCAACTCTCTGTCTCTTGTGTAATGTGAGAGAGTGGGACTTAATACTGCAAGCCCACTGTGGAATCAAACGATAAGAGAGCTGGAACCATGATGATTTGTTCTTTGGAGGATTGACTTGAGGAGAGACACCAAGTCTCTTTCTCCGGTGTTGCTTCACTCATTTCTGAAGCCCTGAAGAGCACCTCCTTGAATAGACAATAATTACAGCTTCAAACCAGTTCGCTGAAACAAAAAAATGTCAGAAAATCCGAATGGACCTTCCAGGACAGAACCGGGTACGTTGTGTTGCTTTTGTAGTCGGAAGCAGCACTTCTAAATTTTCTGATAACTGCTGGGAGGCTTGCGTGAGCATTCGCATTGGTCTGCTCCAGGTTGGGC